TCAAAAAAAAAAAATAAAATAAAATAAAAAATAAAAACTGTAGATGACTGGGTGTGGTGCCTCACACCTGTAATCCCAGCACTTTGGGAGGCTGAGGCAGGAGGATCACTTGAAGTCAGGAGTTAGAGACCAGCCTGGGCAATATAGCAAGACTCCATCTCCACAAAACTACAAAATTAGCCAGGCATGGTAGTGTATACCTGTAGTCCCAGCTACTCAAGAGGCTGAGTAGGAGGCTGAGTGGGAGGATTTCTTGAGCTCAGGAGGTTGAGGCCTCAGTGAGCCATGGTCACAGCACTACACTCCAGCCTGGGTGACAGTGAAACCCCAAGTCAAAAAAAAAAAACAAACTGTAGAGACTGTAGTTTATTGGGTTTATCTTTTCCTCTAAAGATAAGAGAGGTAAGGTAAGGCACTGATCACCTTAAACAATCAGGGCTTTAGTGTTACTAACACAACCCAGCTCTTGTTCATCACTGTTCCTCAGGTGTTTCCCTCCTGCACTTTTGCTGGAGAGCCTGTTTGGTCTAGAAAAACTGCTTGAGATTTAGTTCTCCCCTTCATGAGTTTTCAGCTGAGCTCTTTAGCCTTCTTTCTCACGACTGTGCCAAGCCCCTTCTCTTATTTGGACTGCTTCCAAAGTAGAGAGACTGCCTTTCTGGCCCAGTTCCCTAACCTCCCATACCATCACAAACTTAGCAAATGTCCTGTGACAAAACTAGTCATGTGCTTGAAGCTCTTCTAGTTTCTAAGTCAGCCCTATATAACTTCCAAAAGCCCTTCTGGATCTCTTCCTCTTGTAAAGTCTATCAGCCTAGACCAAGCCCCATCCTCAGCTCACAGTGAAAATCAGCAAGTGCCCCCAGATAATGGTCAGCAATTGTCAACTCCCCTAGAAAAAGCACTTCACTTTCTGGAATTTTAATTAATCTAGAACTCATTGTTTCCACAGCTTGGCAATATCTTTACACTTTTTTCAATTTATCTCCCCATCCTCCACCCCCTGCCCCACCAACAACTTATTGCAGCATGATTGCTGGCCTGGCAATACCAACTACAATATACATGGAAATGAGGGTCTGGTCATTACTTTCTTATTCAACATTTAAATCCAAGACAAAAATGAGAAGATACTAAATTACCACATAAGATGTTCCCTCCTCTCTTCCATTGGGTGAGGTGTAGAGGGATGAAAGACATCGCAGAGGAACACAGATTGTCTGCATGGCGCCACACGGAATGTGTATCAGTGGCTAATGCTTGCTATATTTCTTGTTTTCCAAGAGTTTTAAGTAAACAAACTCCTTATGATTTTGCTTTTTCTTCTGTAAAATATCAGAGGGTATGTCTGATTGGTGGAGGTGGGACTGTCATCATCTTCCCTACTTAATAGTATTGCCATGAGAATCAGTGGAATTCATCAATGTAATGCTTTTATAAAATGAAAAGCCTTTACTTTCATAACAAGTCAATATTAAGAGATACTCACCACAGTGCATTTTGTGAGCTGGTGACAGGGAATACGGAAAAAAGAGGAAAAGAGAAAATAGTTATCCAATAGCAATCACCGGTATCAGAATTTATATGTGGTTTCTGAAGGTTTGGGTTTTTGTCAGTTTGTTCTTCTTACCCATGGGACCTTGAGTTACTCACTACAGTGTTTTCTCATATGTAAAATCTGGTATCTTCCAATTTAGGTCACAGGATTTCTGAGGATGAAGTGTAAAAGCAAGATGATGCTTTAGCTCTCATTAGAAAATCACTCTCCCAGTTAAAATCCTAAGATACACTTTCTCAACGTTGTAGAATATATTCTTCTAACAATGAGATCAAACAGACAACCATATGGAAAATAGAGAATATGTGTAGACGTGTCAAAGTGGGATGATGTGTGCAGAATAGAAAGTAGCAGAATAGTGTAATATATTGAAAATAAAACTGAATAGAAAAAAAGGAGGGATAAAGAAAACTACATAAAAGACATTTTAAATAATCCTTCTTGGTAGTTTCTTGAAATTTGAGAGTATAATCAGAAGCATTAAAAAATGAGTAATTTTAGTTCCAAATATAAGTGTTAATAGTAGGGTGTAGTTTCTTCCTTCTCTTTTCTTCCTTTTTTGTGTATTTCTCTCCACATGTGAGAATAAACACAGACAAGATAGAAATGTAATATAAATATATACACATGTATCTAACTTTTTACTAATAAAAAATTTGCCTATATTCCTACAACCCAGAGACAACTGAACTCATAATGGCGCATATCGCATATCCTTTTTTTTTTTTTTTTTTGAGATGGAATGTCACTCTGTTGCCCAGGCTAGAGTGCAGTGGCGCGATCTCAGCTCACTGCAACCTCCTCCTCTTGGGTTCAAGGGATTTTCCTGCCTCAGCCTCCCGAGTAGCTGGGATTACAGGCATGCGCTGCCACACCTGGCTAATTTTTGTATTTTTAGTGGAGATGGGGTTTCGCCATGTTGGCCAGGCTGGTCTCCAACTCCTGACCTCAGGTGATTCGCCCGCTTTGGCCTCCCAAAGTGCTAGGATTGCAGGCATGAGCCACCACGCCTGGCCATATCCTTCTTATATATATGCCGTTTTACAACACAAATCATAGTTTTATAGTCTTAGTTTACTATGAACATTTTCCAAACTCCTTAAAATATGAATACATTAAGGGAAGCATGATTCCAATTTATGAATATATCAAGTTACTCTATCACCTATTACTGGATATTCAAGTTGCTTATTTTTATTTCAATTAATACTGCTCTTATAGGATCTTTCCTAGAAATTCTGAACCTCCTATTGCCCCACCATAATTACTTTTTTGAGAATAAATTTTGACTTTTCAAGAAAAGTATCCCAGAAGAGTATCTTTCTCCGTAAGATGCTTCCACTTTTGTACTGATGACAGATAAAATACATGTGCAAGGTCTATTTGAGAATCCTGCTGGCTCATGTGCTCTGAAACTAATCTATTTAGGGATTATCTATTTACAGATAAGCTTGGAGATTGGCCTAGTAAGGATTAATATGTTTTTCCTCTGTCCTCCTGATTATAAAATGTATTTATACTTTCAGAAGCTTCTAAACCTGTTCTACAGAGAATATGTGTATAATTTATAATTGAGTGCTTGACTGTAACCCCTGCGATCTTTTCTATAAAATGGATGATGACATATCTGAGACATGATTTTCCTTATATTATACAGGAAAACTGGGTTATCAAATTTATTAACTTGATGTTTGCTGAACATAAGTGCTCTGATATAAGATGACACCTCGCTTCTTTCCAAAGGCATTCCAGTCTTTGCTATCTTCATGGTTTTGACCCTTCATAAATTATTTGATGTACAATGTATTAAAACTCATGAGTAAGGAATTTGTCATTTATTGGCTGGTCACAGTGGCTCACACCTGTAATTCTAGCACTCTGGGAGGCTGAGGTGGGCAGATCACTTGAGCCCAGGAGTTCGAGGCTAGCTTGGGCAACATGGCGAAACCCCATCTACAAAAAATACAAAAATCAGCTGGGTGTAGTAGCGGGTGCCTATGGTCCCCACTACTCGGGAGGCTGAGGTGGGAGGATAACCTGAGCCTGGGAAGTCGAAGCTCTGGTGAGCTGTGATCATGCCACTGCATCCCAGCCTAAGTGACAGAGTGAGACCTGTCTCAAAATAAATAAATAAATAAATAAATAATCATTTATTGAATGATTTGAGTAACTTTTGAGTTTTCTTACATCTACCAAAGGCTAAATGATATCTGAGGGCTTTTTTAAAAAAATGTATATTAGATTTACATGATTACACTCAATGAATTCTTTGATGCACAATATGACAATGTACAGGAGTCCTCCCTTATCCATGGGGGATATGTTCCAAGATCCCTAGCGGATGCCTGAAACTGTGAATAGTACCGAACCTGATTGCTGTCAGAACCCATTTCTATTCATGCCTTCCACCCACAAATTTAATGTCTTTTTCATCTTAGCATTTATCATGCACTGTGGCCATAACTTTTGCAGTTCGAGATGTGACAACAAAACTAGCACAAGTTTCTTTTTCCTTCTTCACAATTTCCTGGATAGAAGATTCATTCTTACTATAAATCTTAACAACCTCAGCATACATTTTGTTTCTTTATTAAGTCAAGAACTTTAACCATTTCACTTTAAGGAAGCACTTTATAACTTATTTTTGGCATATGCAAATTGCCAACATCACTACTCTTGCACTTTGGGGTCATTATACAATAAGGGTAGCTTTAATGCAAGCACTGCAATCCCATGACAGTCAATCTGACAACTGAGACAGCTAAGGGACTAATGGGCAGGTAGCATATACAGCATGGATATAATACTGGACAAAAGGATGATTCAGGCCGGGTGCAGTGGCTCACGCCTGTAATTCCAGCATTTTGGGAGGCTGAGGCAGGCAGATCACTTGAGGTCAGGAGTTCAAGACCAGGCTGGCCAACATGGTGAAACCCTGTCTCTACTAAAAATACAAAATTAGCTGGGTATGGTGGCATGCACCTGTAATCCCAACTATTCGGGAGGCTGAGGCAGGAGAATCGGTTGAACTCGGGAGGTGGAGGTTGCAGTGAGCCAAGATTGTGCCACTGCACTCCAGTCTGGATGACAGAGCAAGACTGTCTCAAAAAAAAAAAGAAAAAAAAAAAAGGGTTCACTGATTTGCATCCTGAGCAGGAAACAGCAGGACAATGTAAAATTTCATCACACTACTCACAATAGCATGCAACTTACGCATTTATGTTCTGTGACATACAATGAGAGTTAATGTAACACTAAAAGATTTCCCACATTTATTACATTTGTAAGGTTTCTCCCATATGAATGATCTGATGTTTAATGAGAGTTGACTTCCCACTAAAGGCTTTCTCACAGACACTGCATTTATAGGGTCTCTCTCCATATGAATTTTCTTATGTTTAATAAGTGGTGCCTTCTGGATAAAGGTTTTTCCACATTCACAGCATTCATAAGGTTTCTCTCCGGTGTGAGTTCTTTGATGTACAACTAAGTTTCTTTTCTGGATAAACACTTTTCCACATTCAGTACATTTGTAGAGTTTCTCCCCGGTTTGACTTCTCTGACTTTTTCTAAGGGCTCGCTTTTGGTGGAGGGCTTTCCCTCGTTGATTAGGGTCAAAAAATCTCTCTGCAGGTCGAGCTTTATGAAGATTAGAATGGAGGCATACTTTCCAATACGCCTTACATCCATCATCTTTCCTTCTTACATAGCTTCTATTTTGACTAAGAAAGTTTAAATTATGTTTTGAATGCCTTTTCCCATGAATAATATTTAGGGAGTCTTTGTCTTACAGAATCAAATTCTGTGCTCAGATAAATGCTTTTTCTACATGTTCTGGATTCTTGACCACTTTCATCCTTCAGTGTTTCCTTGCCTATGAATGCAGCTTGCCACAGAAGTTTGTCTTGGCTTTCCTTGTAGCAATCTATCTGCTCATCAACTTGCCAGACTTCTAGAAGAAAATGAATGAATCATCAAACTTGTTAAGTCTTTCCACTGGAATATTATGGAATAACATTAATCCCTAAATGCCCAAGCAGTGAACTCCTATCAACATGACTTGAGCTGATGTGGATGGACCCTCCCCATGTCCCACCACCACCACCTCCCCTGAGTGCAAGTACAAAGAAATGCTGGCTCAAATTTAACAAAAATAATTTAATATGCAGCCAAGCTCAAACCAGAAAATAAATTTATTATGTGACAAAAATGAAGAAGAAATTTAAAGTGAGGGGGTGAACAGAAATTGAAGCTGTGTGGCTTTGCAGTTGGGGGACTAAGGCTCTAATCATGAGTGTGAAGTGAATTCTAGGCCACAGGGCACAACTGTGCAGAGAATTAGAATTGAGCTACCTGGTTAAAGCTGGGAGTCACAAAGGACATCTCTGTGTGTAAAATAGGAACTAGAAAGATGTCACCCACTGGCTAATGAAAATGTTAAGAAGAATCAGGGGTTACTTACAAGAAGTCAGAACCACAGTCCTGTACCACATGTAGGAGTGCATTCCAAATGGACATTTGAAGTATAATACAAAACCCCCGAAGTTGATAAATTCACCTATAAATTGTTCCTGCATTAGTGAAACCAGTGGGCCCCAGCAGTGGCAATCCAAATAGTTCTGCAGTGATGCTTTCATAGCTTAGGGTACACAGAATTTCCATGGAAAATAACTCTCACTGAAAAGGAGTTCACAGTAAAAAAAATTACAAACTTCAAAAGGAAATGAACCACAATGAGTTGAAAACTTATGTCTACAGAAAAGCCTGCACATGATGTTTATAGCAGCTTCATTCATAATGGCCCCAAACTGGAAGCAACCAAGATGTCCTTCAATAGGTGAATGGATAAACAAAGTGATCCACAATGGAATATTATTCAGCAATAAAAAGAAATGGGCTATCAAGCCATGGACATGGAGGAAACTTAAATGCATATTGCTATTTGAAAGAAGCCAGTCTGAAAAGGCTACATACTATATGATTCCAACTATATGACATTCTAGAAAAGGCAAAACTATAGAGATAGTAAAAAGATCAGTACTTGCCAGGAGAGAGTGAAAAAGGGATGAAAAAGCAAAGCACAGGGAATTTTTAGGGCGGTAAAACTATTCTGTATGAAACAGTAATGGTGGATTTTTATGCATTTGACAAAACCCATAGAACTGAACAACACAAAGAGTGAACCTTAATGTAAGATGTGACTTTAGTTAATAATAATGTATTCATTCACCAGTTGTAACACATGTACCATACTAATGCAAGATGTTACTATTAGGGGAAATTGGCGGGGTGGGGGCGGGTAGAGAGAGGTATAAGGAAACTCTCTGTCGAGAGATGTGTAAAGGGATGGAGATATACCATGAAAACCTAACCAAAAGAAAGCTGGAGAAATTACATTAATTTCAGACAATGACTTCAGAACAAGAAGGATTTTCTGGCACAAAGAAGGACATTACAAAATGATAAAACAGTCAATTCTTTGAGAAGAAATAACAATCCTAAAAGTGTATGTACCTAATAACAGCACTTCAAAATACATGAGGCAAAAATGGATACATCTGAAAGAGAAACAGACAAATCCACAATTATTGTTGGAGACTTCAACACTTTCTCTCAATAATTGATAGAACAAGTAGACAGAAAACCAGCAAGGATATAGATAATCTGAACAGCACCATCAACCAACTTCACCTAATTGACATTCAGAGAACACTGCATCCAACAACAGCAGAATATACATTCTTTTCAAGTGCATATGAAACATTCACCAAGATAGAACATATTCTGGGTCTTAAAACAAACCTGTACAAATTTATAAGAAATCATATTATGTGCAATAATAGTATTACAACAAAAATCAATGAGAAAGATACTTGGAAAACCCCAAATATTTGGAAATTTAAAGATATACTTACTTCTAAATAAGTCGTAAGGGGAATTTGAAACTATTTTGAATTAAATGAAAATGCAACATATCATAATTTGTGGGACATAGCAATGAGAGGGATATTTATAGCACTGAATGCATATATTAGAAATAAAGATCAAGCAGAAGAAAAGAAATAATCAGAGCAGAAATCAATGAAGTTGAAAACAGGAATGTTCTTCAAATGGTGAATGGCTAAACAAACTGTGGTACATCCATTTGGTGGAATATTACTCAGTGATAAAAAAGAAGAAACTCTGGGTACTCACAACAGGATGAATCCAACTGAGAAGTACGCTGAGTGAAAAGAACTAATCCCATAAAGTATCATACTGTATGACCTCATTTATGTAATATTCTTGAAATGACAAAATTATAGAAATGGAGAACAAATTAGTAGTTGCCAGGGCTTAAGAAGGGGTGGGGTGGGAAGGAATGGGTATAGCTATACAAAGGCAATATGAGGGACCCTTGTAGTAATGGAAATGTTCCGTATCTTGACTTTCTCAATGTCAATATCCTTGTTGTGATTTGTAGTATAGTTTTTCAAGATGTCACCATTAGTAGAAACTGGGTAGAATACATGAGATTTATCTTTATTTTTTCCTAAAGGGCATGGGAATCTACGATTATCTTAACATAGAATGTTTAATTTAAAAAATAGTCAAATATTCCAAAGAGAAGGATGGTGAAGTAAAATAACAAAAAACCAAAAAGAAGTTTGGTTGGTGGGATGAACAGAAAAGAAATAATAAAATGGTACCTGTAAATCCAATAATATCAATAATTACATGGGAAGTAATGGTCTAAAGGAGAAAAAACACAATCATAGGAATTGATCCATAAAAATAATTTATAACATCCATTCATAATAAAAAAAACTTTCAGAAAATCAGGATTAGAAGGAAATATCCTCAACCTTTATCAGGCCATTATGAAAAAACCTACAAGTAAAATTAGGCCTAATGGTAAGAGAGTAAATGCTTTTGTCCTAAGATCAGGATCAAGGCAAATATGTTGCCCTCCCTACCTGAGTCAACATTATACTGAAGATCCTAGCCAGTAAGTACAATAAAGTAAGAAAAAGAAGTAAAGGCATCCAGACTGGGAAAGGAAATAAGCTGTCCTTATTCATAACTACATGATTGTTTATGTAGAAAATACCAAACCATCTATAAAAGAGCTACTAGCACTAATATGTGAGCTTATTAAAAGGTTCCAGGATACAAAGCCAATATGGAAAGATCAATTACACTTCTATAAATTAGCAATGAGCAATAGGAAAATGAAATACAAAACAACTATGTACATACACACACCCCATTTACATTACCTTGAAAGAACATAAAACACGGGGGTAAATTAAACAAAATATGTGCAAGACCTATCCATTCAAAACTATCAAATATTACTGAAATAAAATTTAAAAGACTGAAATAGACAGATATACCATATTTTGCTTTAGAAGACTCAATATTGCACATCAATTATCCACAGATTTCATGCAATGTCAAAACCCCCTGCAGGCTTTTTTGCAAAAATTGACAAGCTGATTCTAAAATTTCTAGGAAAATACCAAAGACCTAGACTAGCTACAACATTACAAAAAGGAAGAACAAAGTAAGAGGACTCATACTACCTGATTTAAACACATAATATAAGGCTACAGCAATTAAGACATGTGGTACAGGTTGTGTATCATTTATCCAAAATGCTTGGAACCAGCAGTGTTTTTGGATTTCAGATATTTTTGGTTTCTAGAATGTTTACATTATATATTTACTGGTTCAGCAGCCTAACCTGAAAACATGAAATCTGAAATGCTTCAATGAGCATTTCCTTTGGATGCCACGTCGGTGCTCAAGAAATTTTGGATTTTGGAGCATTTAGGATTTTGGATTTCTGGATTAGGGATACTCAACCTGTATTGGTGTACAGAGTGACACATATGTTCAAATACTTTTCAAAAAGGATGCCAAAGTAAGTTAATTAAGAAAGAACAGTCTGGAATAGACTGAATATTTGATAGTAACTTATCTTTCTTACTTAACCTCTCTTCTGCTCTGGTTAATCTGCTATTAAGTCTATATATGAAATTCTTCTTTTGTTGTTGCTCTTTAAATTTTGTGTTTCTTTTATATATATATTAAATTCTTAATTTTCAGTTTTCATTAGATTATTTTATATATCCCAGTTCCCCAGTGAAATTCTTACTATTAACATTTTTTTTTTTGAGACAGAGTCTTGCTCTGTTGCCCAGGCTGGAGTGCTGGAGTGCTGGAGTGCAGCAGTGCGGTCTTGGCTTACTGCAACCTCTGCCTCCTGGGTTCAAGCAATTCTTGTGCCTCAGCCTCCCGAGTAGCTAGGACTACAGGTGCGCACCACCATGCCCAGCTAATTTTTTAGTAAAGACGGGGTCTCACTATGTTGCCCTGGCTGGTCTCAATCTCCTGGGCTCAAGGGATCCTCCTGCCTCAGCCTCCCAAAGTGCTGGGATTATAGGTGTGAGGCACCACACCTGGCATCATTTAGTAGATGTCAAATAAATGGATCACTTGTTGATCTGAGAAAAAGAAAGAATATTCTTTTCAAAAATATTACTGGAACAATTGGAAATGCATATGTAAAAATAATATAAAAATATGTTGACCCTTACCTCACACCAGATACAAAAATTAAGTCATTAACAGTCATAGACTTAAATATAAGAACTAAAATTATGAATCTCCTGGAAGAAAACATACAGAAAAAATCTCTGTTACCCTGGGTTAGTGAGAGATTTTCTAAAGAGGACACAAAAAGCATGAACCGTAAAAGAAAAATTTAATACATTGGACTTTATAAAAACAGAAACATTTGTTTTTCAAAAGATACTGTTATGAACAATCAAGCCACAGCCTAGGAGTAAATACTTGCAAAACACATAGCTGGTCAGGACTTATATCCACAATATATAAAGAACTCTCACAATTTAATAACAAACAATGGCAAAAGATTACAATAGACACTTCACCACAGAACATATACAGATGGCAAATAAGCACATGAAAACATGCTCAACATCACTGATCATTACAGAAATGCAAATTTAAATTACAATGAGATCCCCCTATATACCTACTAGAAAGGTGTGTTGTTGGTGGGAAAACAAAATAGTACAGCCACACTAGAAAACAGTTTGGCAATATCTTATTATTATTTTTTGAGAGACAGAGTCTCACTGTGTCACCCAGGCTGGAGTAGAGTGGCATGATCTCGGCTCACCGCAACCTCCACCTCCTGGGTTCAAGCAATTCTCCTGCCTCAGCTTCCCAAGTAGCTGGGATTACAGGCATGTGCCACCACACCCAGCTAATTTTTGCATTTTTAGTAGAGACGGGGTTTCACTATATGTTGGCCAGGCTGGTCTCAAATTCCTGACCTTAAGTGATCCACTCGCCTTGGCCTCCCAAAGTGCTGGGATTACAGGCGTGAGGCACCACACCCGGCCCAATGTCTTATAAAGTTAAACATATGCTTACCATATGGCCAAGTAATCTCACTCCAGATATTTACCCAAGAGATATGAAAACACAGATCCACAGAAATGCCTGTACAAGAATGTCTGCCAGCTTCATTCATAATAACCAAAAAAAACCCGGGACAATTCAAATGTGCATTAACTGGTCCATCGACAGACAAACTGGAACACTACTCAGCTATCAAAAGGAACAAACTGATACATGCCACAACATGGATGAACCTAAAATGCATTAAGGTAAGTGAAAGAAGCCAGCCACATGACATTCTAGAAAGAACCAAACTAGAAGGAAAAGAGGTCAAGCCTGGGATGAGGAGAGAGACTGAATTATAAAAGGAAACATGGAGTTTTTTGTGGGGGATGAAAATGTCCAACACTTTTATTGTAGTAGTAGTAATTACACAGCTACATATTTGTCAAAACTATACAACTGTATACCTAAGAAAGATAAATTTCATGGTATGTACATTATACCTTAATCAATTTCATTTGAAAAAATAAAAGGAATGCAGTCACATCAACATAAATATATAATGATCACATATAAAAACACATATAGAAAATTACGTTCAAACATTAACACGTATGGCCAAAGATCATATGGTGCCATAAGGGCATTTTGTTTTATTAAAATACTTCATGAGTACTAATGATAAAGTACTAACAAATATTGAACTCTAATTAATGATATGCCTGTGGAGGTACTTAGGGGTTAAGGGTACTGATCTCTGTAACTTCCTTTGAAATGCACTATAAAAAAATAAATCGAATTTATGGAAATTGGAGGAACTGGCAGATGGACAGGGGATAAATATAGCCAAATGTTTATAGTTATTATAAATCTAGGTGGAGGTATTATATGGGTGTTCAATCTACAATTCTTTTACTTGTTTTATATAAAACTTTTCATAATAAAATGTTGGGGGAAGCTAGATAAAAAACAGCAAAGTAAACTGAAAGTAAGTAGGAAAAAGAAAATAAAAGTAAAAGAAATCAATAAAACAGAAAAATGGTAGAGAAAATTAACAAAGCTAAAACTTCTATGAAAAGATCAACAAACTTGAAATAAATTTCAGTTTGTACTACTACATGAGACTGGACAGTTTTCATTACTGTAATGAGGCTACTCTTGAAAGGAACAGTTCCCAGAAGATTTGTATTATCTCAGAATGACCAGTGAACTTATGGGACCAGCCAGAGGGTTCATCCAGGAGACAGAGGGAAAAATATAGTTCCTGAAATAGATTCAAATATGGAGAAACAGGGAAGAAATTCAAGTTGCTTTCTGCTGCATTCTGCTTCCAACCCTGGGAGTTTGGAGAGCTGTCTAGGAGTGAGTCCATGTGCTCCTGTCTTTCCATCCCATCCTGCTCGCATGCCCATTGCTGTCTCCTATTCCCTTGCAATTCCTCTCAGCAGATATTTCAAGTAGTGGATCTTAACCAAAGATGGGCATCAGAACCCTCTGGAGTGTCACTCAAAATGCACACAACCAGGCCTACCCTAGGCTTTCTGAAACAATTTCTACAGTGGGGCCTACTCATGAATATTCTGATAGATCCACAGGTAACTATGTAATACATCTCTGGTTAACAACCACTACATTAAATTAAAGAAAACGTTTTTTATGGATAATAACAACAATAAAAACAGTGATAACATTTGTTGAGTGTTCCCTTTATGCCAGGCACCCTTTTAGGTGCTTTACATGGATCAACTCATTAATTTCTGAAAATCATTCAGTTCTATCATTAGCCCCACAACAGGTAGAGAGGCCAACCAATGTGTACACAGTGATAGCTAGTGAGGAAAGTGGCCAGAAGTCCAGTCCAGGCTATGTGGCTCCACAGTCACTCTTAGCCACTTGTATGTGGATGAATAACAAAGCTCCTTCCTCTGCCCAGGTCCAAATCAATCAGTGCAATATTTATTGAATGTCTTCCACCAGTCCCACACTGGAACAAGTCAGAACAAGATGTAGGCTCTTATGTCTAGGGGTTGTGTTTGAGCTAAAGATATGAGCCACTGGCACTTAGCTATATTTTTTTAAAAGTTACCATATGAAATGCATAGCTATATTATTTAAAGTTACAAATGTAACCAATAAAGGAACTAAAAATAAGCATATAACAAACTTGTGAAGAGCTGGGGAGTGGAAGGCCAAAGTGTGAGGGAAATCCTTACTTTTCATAGAGGGAAGATAAAACTGAAAACCCATAAAATGCAGATATAAAGGTATTCCCTAAACCTATGGAGGTGCTCACCAGAACCAAAAAGAGAAATCTGTAGAGGAAGCTGCCCTTGGGGGGTGATTGGGAATGCACCTAAGATTACTTTTTAGCCTATACTGTTCTGCACTCTTAGACTGAATATATAAATGTCTGTATTTTAATATAATAGTTTTTCTTATGAGGGAATTGGGACTCAGGAGGGTAGACTGTGCCTGAATTTGCTTTTCCTCCCTTCTAGGACAGCACTGAAATGAGAACAAGACATACAGTCATTACAATTCCAGGCATCACTGGAAGAAAGCAAGCATACCATCAGCACACCAGAAATCCTGATAAATCTCGAAGCAGCAGATATGGAATTACACTGAGCAACAAAGAGGTTATCATCACCCAAAACATTCCTGGAGGAAGCTACAGAATGGTGGGAGCCACAAATGCCAGCACAGGGAGGATCTCAGAGAACAGGTGTGTGTGCTGAGGAGTGGGTTCTGGAGGAAGCCATCTGAGGAGTCCTTGGGGCCAGCACCTGACTACAGCTGATGCTCTGAAATTAATCTCTAATGAGCAGTGATTCTCAAGCTTTACTGTGTCTATGGGGTCCCTGGGGAGCTTGTTGAAATGCACATTCTCCTTCAGAAAATCTAGAGTGAGGCCTCAGATTCTGATTTTCTACTTAGTGCCCCAACAATGCCCAGGCTGCTGGTTCATCGGTCACCCTCTGAAGAGTAACACCATTCTAAACAGGCTTCTTTGCCATGGGCCAGTGAAGGGGGTACTATGAAGGGGAGAGAAAGAGCAGACCAGTGTATCAGAAGAGTTTCTGGATCCTTGTAGGCAGCCCACAGGAAAAATAGACAAGGAAAAAGCAGCTCTATGCAGGACTAAAATATGGTTCACTGAAGTATTCCACCTTGGGAGTAATGTCCTCTCGAGTGTGTTTATTTTTTGAATAAGTAAAGAGATAATAACAAAAACAAGAGTTGAATGGGAAGGATGTATTAAAAAATGGAGGAATCTGATAACAAGTAGTATGAAGTCAGATTTGTAACAGTCTGAGAAGAAATAAGTAGAGAAAACAGAAAATGGTGTGAGGTTTACAGTGTTAACCACAAAGTGAGAGCAGGCAAGAACGTGGTGGGTACCTGGTTGGGTAAAGGTCACTGGCAAAGCTTTGGTGTCTATACTGACTCAAAAAAAAAAAAAAACAAAAAAACAAACAGGCATGATAATCTACCTTAGGCTAAAAAACAAAAACAAAAACAAAAAACAAAAAACAAACAAACAAAAAAACAGTCCAAATTTCAGCCTGAAAGGGCCCACAGTATGCCCAATAAAGAGGAAATGCTGACATCTATTAATACATCTACCATGGTGAAAATACAAAAGGCCAAGAAGGTGGGAGAATAAGTCTTAAAAGCTTCCAGAAAGGTGGTGGGAGAGGAATGAGAAGAGGCTTGGCACTTCTCACTAACAAGCCAGGAGGGTGGAAGGTAGAAATGGGATCTCAGAACAAGAGTGGCCACAATCTATGGGAACGCCAAGCAAAGAACGCAGAGACTGTAACCGGTGGCCAGGCAGAGGCCTCATTTGGACATGACAACAGTTCCGCTCATCAGAGCCTAGGCATGTCCACAAGTCCGGGGCTCTCAGAAGGGCTCCTGAGCTCATCCCAGAGGCCAAGCTGTCACCAATCAACCTGGTCCCTTTCCCCGGCCTGACTCACCTGGCCTGTCCTCACCTGCACAGGTCCGTACCGGGGTCCCTCCATCTGCCATCCAGGACTCTTCTCCTGGTCCCAACCTGAAGATCACATCTGGCTTCGCAACTAGATACCCTGTTCAGGGGACATGACATAGGACTTCGTTATTGACGCTGAGGAATTCCAGAACCTAGGCCCACCCCTGCAGGCTGAAGGTGGCACGGCCTCGGGGATGACCCCAAGCACACAGCCATCTGCCCCTCAGTACAGAACATTCACATAGCAAGCAAGGGCACCAACATGCTCTCCAGAGTCCGTTCAACGGGGACTACGAATACTGCACAGTTGGCTGTAACCCAAACTCACTGAGGGTGGTAACCCACACTCGTTGTTCCCAGGCCCCGGAGCTTGGAGCAGCTGAGAAAGAAACACAGTACTGGGGGCATTCTGCATCACCCCGTGGCGCGGTCCCTCACCCACGGACACCAGGTGGCTGTAGTTCTCAAGCATGACATCCCTGTAGAGGTTCTTCTGGGCAGAGTCCAGTTGCTGCCACTCCTCCAGGGTGAAGTCCACAAACACGTCCTTGAAGGTCAATGATTCCTGTAATGGCACATTCCTCTTTAGCATGCCAGGAGCAGCCTGGGGCACCGGGATGTGGCACCTCACGCACATGGAGGGCTTACTCTGTGCCCTCTAGGAGAAACTTGACAGATGAAGAGTGTGAGGCGCACAGAGCCTAAGTAACTAGCCCAGGTCACACAGCCAGGAATGAGGGAGTCGAATCCATGCGGTCTGGCTCCCGCATCCACACTGGCCTTTGCTTTTTTTTTTTTTTTTTTTTTGAGACTGGGTCCTGCTCTGTCACCCAGGCTGGAGTGCAGTGGTGTAATCTTGGCTCACTGCAACCTCTGCCTCCCGGGTTCAAGCAATTCTCCTGCCTCAGCCTCCAGAGTTGCTGGGACTACAGGAGCCCACCACCACACCCGGCTAATTTTTGTACTTTTAGTACAGACGGGGTTTCACCATGTTGGCCAGGCTGGTCTCGAACCCCTGACCTTGTGATCTGCCCACCTTGGCCTCCCAAAGTGCTGGGATTACAGGCGTGAGCCATCATGCCCGGCCTGGCCTTTCTTATATAATTGTTCTTATGCCAGTCACTAGTCAGTTTGGCATAGTATATTACATAGAGTATCTATATGACTAAAATCATTTTGAACTTTATAAGAGAAACAGACAGGCTATGAGAAATATCTCACCCTGGAAATTCATTCATTCAACACATGTTTACTGAATAGAGGCCAGACTGGTAAGTCCTGTGAAGGAAAGACTGATACAAAACCACACCTCTTGAACTCAAGGAGCTTCAGTTTAGTGGAGGGAGAAAAGCGACACTTACACACTCATAGATGAAACCGAGGCAGCGAGGAAGCCTGCCTCACAGGGACAGTGACAGATTTAGGACAGGGTCCGGGTGGTCCACAAAGGAGGAAGTCAGTCCTGCCTGGGGCTGACAGAGCAGGCTTTGCAGGGGACACAGAGCTACAACGAACAGTTCTAAACATAGCTAATCAATCATGACAAACCGTTCTAACCTTCGCTCATCAATCATGAAAAAAAGAACAGGAAGCCAGAGGTCTGTGGCCCGGGCAGCTGACTGAGGCAAAAGGGGAAAGGTCTGTGCTTGGCCTTGTCACCACCAAACAAGAACTCACTTCTACAAGGGCCCCAATTCCTCGCAAAGACTAATAACCCACCTGTTTCTGCTCCAGATCCCATCCTGTCACACCCACACTTGCTGGCCTTCAATTCAAGCCACTCGTTGCACCCGTAAGGCCCAAATCAGCCACAGTGGCACTAGTTTACCCAGCTGTGCAGGAGAGGGGACAGGAAAGCCAGCCTGCCAGAGGGCGGTGACAGGCAGGTTTCTCCAGCAGGAGGGCTTCTCAGAGCAAACTGCCCCTCCCTCGTGAGAGCTCCGCTGCCAGGGAACAAAACCACACTGCTGAGTGCTAGGATGAAACAAATGTTGCTTGGAAGCTCTAACCTGTTCCATAGACCAATATCTCCTGTAATGGTCCCAGTGGCATGGCTTCCAGGGTCCCAGCAAAAGATGTGCCCAGTTACATATCACTGAGTGACAATGTGCTCAGAAAACCCCAATCCATGGCTTCCTACCAGCCAGTCATAGTTTACTCAGTCCTTCAGTTCAGATGCAGTTTGTTTACCAATCCAGAGTCATTTTTATCTGGAGTAATGTCACCTGGTTTGATATTGTGAAATATCTATTTGGTTTTTGTCCTGTCTCCTGGCAAAAGCTCCTGCAACCCTTGGAATAGACTCTGAAGTGATCAAAGTGTCTTTTATATGCTAATGAGATGACTGGTGGCTGGCTGCCCCTAGGTAGCTTCCGGATGGGAGCTGGTCACCAGAAAACCAGACAGGATTAGAGGGTTGGGAATTTCATCTCCATCCTCAAAACTCCTGGGAGGGGAGAGAAGATGAAGGCTGAGTTGACTACCAAGGGCCAGTGATGATCATGCCTCTGTGATGAAGCCTCCATAAAAACCCCACTGTGGCTGGGTGTGGTGGCTGGCTCCTGTGATCCCAGCACTATGGGTGGCTGAGGAGGGAGGATCACTTGAGGCCAGGAGGTTGGGCCTGCAGTGAGCCAAGATTGCACCACTGTTCTCCAGCCT